CCCCAAAACCCCAAAACCCCAAAACCCCAACAGTAAGAATCGGGATACAATCAAATATAGAGTAATATAAATTAATCATAATTTGCTGTCATACTTCAGTTTTTAAGGTGAATCTTACTTTTTGCTGATGTTGAATTGGCTGTAAGTAGTTGAAAATCCCTAATTGCTCTTAAATTTAGGCGAAATTTTTTCACTTTGTTATTTGCTATTCTTTCTTGAGGCATCCTAGCTGTATTTAGAAAACAAGTCAGGAGTAGTCATTGTAGTCTTTTTGTGAGGACTCTTAGATCTACTTTATTTTCTACAACCATCTCTTGTTAATTTCTCGACTAGCTTCATTTAAGGCTCTAATACATCTGTGAGGGATATCTTTATTTATCCTGGAGATATGTACTAAGTTTTCTTTATTCTAATTTTTTATCCTCTTGCTGATACTTGTGTTGAATTATAGGGATTTTAATCGATTACTATAGAACCTTAAGTAAGATATTTTGTTTGCTTTTCCCTTAGTTTCCTTCTTCTTAATTTAAAAGAGGTATCTCCTGCCTCATTTTCATTGACTTCGATTATTGATTAAGATTTGTAGTCATTCATGAGCAATTATTCTTTAGATTCCATACTATTATTCCTAAGAATTCTCTCAATTAATTTTGATAGCTATTTAGCTTAAAATTATTAAGCGAAAGATTTTATTTGACCATGACTTTTGTTAGCAGGTATAGGACTTTCAGCAGTAGAGTTGCTATGTATCCTTCTAATCTTTTGGATTTTGAAATTAGATTATGCATATTGTAAATCTTGAGATTGATTTTAATCATATAGTTATCCTTCACCATACTAAGTTACAGGCCTTACTCTTCTTTTATCAAAACTTGTGTTGCTATAATTATTATTATATATTAATGGAAAATTGACTTAATTCGAGGATGCATTAGTTGAATTCTATTTAGTAATCTTATCGAACGATTCAAGATAACCCATTATCTGTTGTCTAGCCTTAAATTTCAAAGAATTTTCAAATTTAAAGTTTGCCAGACTTGATCGATTTAAAAGATACTCGCTATACTCAATCTATCTTTATTCAGCCATCAAAGATTTTTATTTTACAAATTTACTATTATTATCCTTCGAATCATCAATCTTTGTTGTCTCTTCGATTGCTTTTAAATCTATTTCAATAGAATCATGATCATTGTGCTTGATCTAATGGTAATTGTTTCCTAGAACAGCATCATCAATATTTACTCTTTGTAGAGAAAGATTTCGTCTCTTTAGTGCTTGGATTTTTTCCTCCCTTTCTCTTTTGAATCTTTCAAAATATTGTCTGCTTATATTCTAATCAGCAACTAGTTTATCAATATCATTTTTTAGAGAAGTAAGTTTCTCTGGGAGAATATAATCTGGGTCATCTTCAATCAAAACTATCGATCCCTTGACATTACATTAATTTTTACTTGACTTAGAAGCTTGCTAGTCCTGGGTATTTCTTTTGTCATTTGATTTATGATGTCGATGTAAATTAAATCTAAATTTAGTGTGCCTTTTATGATACTTAAGTGAAGATTTTTCCTTTAATTCATACATATCCTCATTTTAGTCTTGATCATCATTAGCGCTCGTTTTATCAATTTTAGGACTTTCTTTTTTCACAAAGATCTAATGTTCAGGTGCATGTTAATTTAGAATTGAGCGAGTAATTGATGTCCAATTAAGTGGTCTTTTAGCATCATCAAAAGGAACTTTATCATTTTAGAGTGCATTGCGACCCTCCTACCTAAATTTCTCCTTCCATTCTTGGTGTTTGTTGTTGATTTAATCGAAATTGGAAACTTTTTATAAAGTTTTACTTTCAATTTTACTCACCTTCATGTATAAGTTTATTTATTCTATATTAAATCTATTATTATTACAAAAACATTGATGGTGGATTATTAAGATGGGGTTTTGGGGTTTTGGGGAGATC